ACTACGTCTTCCGGCTCGTGGTCGCCTCGACTTGAGAACTTTTCTGCCCCAACTGCCATCAGCTCAACGAGCTATGTGCCAAACCCACTGCACATTTTATAATATTAATGCTTAAATAAAATTCAAAAACATGTTTTTAGAGTCATCTTAGCGTACAGTTATTTATTGCAATGACAATTATTTCCAGTGCAAGACTTACAAAACGTTAAGTAGACCCTACTAATTGCATTACACTTCCATATATATCTGAGTAATAAGTCAGTATTACTATATTTTTCAAAATTCTTAGTAAATAGGTACCTGGCTATAAATAAACAGACAAGCGTGAGTTGGGCTCATACATGAATAGGTTCCGTACAACCGTCATAGATTTCCTTTCCTTTCGCCAAAGTCCTTATTAGGACTCTCATTAGAAAGAAAGAAAGAAATAACAAATGTTTATTAGTACCAAGTAATAATTAAAAACCTAAAAGGCGTAAGTACTTTTGAAAGATTTTTTAAAAAGTGCTTTACGAAGTGACCACAAAAGAAATACCAAATCGTAATGGGTCAATTGAGGCGGTGTTTTCGCTAGCAAGCGATCTTTTCCAGACACAAAAAATCATAAAAACACTCTACCATACTTATTGACCGATTATTGGGAGGTATGTTTTTTAAATTCAATGTGCAAAAAAAAGCTTTTTGTTTTAATAGTAAGTGGGTAGTATTTTAGCATCAAAATAACCTTTCCAGGTCAAATATTTTGTTTTACAAAAGTTTATTTTCTGCAAATACTAACGCTCGTAATCACAAAAATTTATTATGAGGTCTCACAGTGCGCGTGGACGCACAGGATGAGACACGAACCAATCACAGAGCTCTATTCAACGCCGTGCGTTCGATTTGCTGCTTCACTTAAGCAAGCATCCTTTGTGAATACGGGCGATAGGCTTTTAAAAAAAGGTCTATTGCATTTTGTAATAGAAATATATGAATAAAAATCGTTCCATTATTACCATTTAAGCCACAGAACTCTAAATTCGTCGACCGGCCTTGCTCGCGCTCGTTGGTCAATCGTTGCCCAAGCAGTGTGTGTGTTTCGCCATTCATAACTCGGGGGCCCTAATGCGAGACTTAAGCCCGTATTAGGTTTACAATAACTTGATAACTAGAAAATAACACTAAATAGGTTATCTTGGAATTAGCTAAAGGAACGTTAAATACAAAATTTTGTTTTTTGTAATAATCACTCGTTGTTAGTAATTAATCTCTGTTAAGAGCAAAATGTTGTTGTCTGTCCACCTCGTGGATAAGTACCTATCCCTTTCTTTTCTTTGCCAACCGGTAAATCTAGAAATCATTTGGGGAAACTTATGTTCAACAATGAATGTCCTGTGGCTGAAATGATGATGATGATGAAAGAAATTTTGATTTTGAAGCAATGAAAAACTTGAGCTTTCTGTCTTGTATGGTTCGTTCGTTCGTTTCAGCCGAAAGACGTCCACTACTGTACAAAGGCCTCCCTCAAGGAGGCCTCCTTCCTTGTATGGTAAATAAATACAAACCTGGTAAATATACAGGGTGTTAGGTAAAAGGGTATATGAGCCGACACTAGCCCATGTTAACATGGGCATATAAATGGTATGGTGAAGTCAGAAAATTGATATCATCATTTAATTTTTTTTAATTTTCATACAAAATAAATTTTATAAAATCCGATTTGTATGAAAATTAAAATAATTAAATTTAAGATATCAATTTTCTGACTTCACCATACCATTTATATGCCCATGTTAACATGGGCTAGTGTCGGCTCATATACCCGTTTCTGAGAATTCTGAGTGCCTTAATGCCGTCCCCTTTATCTTTTTATTTAGTATTTATTAATTAGTATCTCTTGATGATATTGTTGCAAGTTAAACCTAAAATCATGTTTTCCGTAAATAATTTAAATAAGAAAGCAATTTACGAGTTTGTTGTTTGATTATTATACAGGGTGTTAGGTAAATGGGTATATGAGCCGACACTAGCCCATGTTAACATGGGCATATAAATGGTATGGTGAAGTCAGAAAATTGATATCATCATTTAATTTTTTTTAATTTTCATACAAAATAAATTTTATAAAATCCGATTTGTATGAAAATTAAAATAATTAAATTTAAGATATCAATTTTCTGACTTCACCATACCATTTATATGCCCATGTTAACATGGGCTAGTGTCGGCCCATATACCCATTACCTAACACCCTGTATAGATAGCTACTTACTAGGCTTACTCTCCGAGCAGCTATTATGTATAGGTGTACCAGAATCTCATGGCAAACAAAAATATTGGAAAAGTGTGTTTTTCATATGGCAATTGTCTATGGTTTAACTGTCACCTGTCAAAGAAAATTATGAAATCTGTCAGCCGCTGCAAAATTTTTGTAATCTCTTCTTGACTATTTGTTATTTTTCTGAAAAAGTCGAAAAAGTTCAAGCAAAGCATATTGTTTTCAATGTGAATTGTAAAATAAGGCATAATTCAAAGTCAATCTTTGATTCTAAAGCGCGTCGTCGAGTTGACAGTAAGTTGGACTGAAATGTTTTGATACATTTAGTTTATTACCCAACTGCGTCAGAAGGAGGGTTGGGTTTTTTTATATTATTCTTACTTAATAGCTGCTTTATCGGGGTTTTCAGGTATAATATCTCACAAATTGGTGCAGATGTTATGACCATGTAAAGAAAATTGAAAAGATTTCATCAAAGCAAGATTGAATAATGAAGAAGTTTCCAATTTTTTTCTTTTAAATAAACTTGAAATAAATATAAGTAAAACTAATAATAATTGTAAAATAATCATGAAAATATCTCTACAAATAAATAAGTTACAGGGCCCTAAAGTTGCGCATAACTATTCACGCCATTTTGATCGGTGTATTCACGACAGTCATTCGGAGTACAAACAGTAAATCACCCCTGATCCAGCCAGTGCTGTTGACAGGTTATTTTTTTTAAATCTAGCAGTTTTTAATTTTTCAGCTAGGGTCACTCAAGATTCTTTCTTAGTAAAGAAGCCATATACAAAAAGAACGGCACCGCCTATGTTTCAGTTCCACGCGAAAATATGTAGGTAATATAAATAATTTATTTCTCAGACATTTCTTGATCGATTTAAATAAAAACTTCACCGTCTTTTTAGTTTTGGTATATATTTTAATCCCATTCAGAGAAATATAGTGTTTTAACATCAGGAACTTCTCCATTGAAATGCTGGAAGAGCAATTTATTTACAGTACCTCTTTATCTTGATCATCTGTTTATCGAAAAACAAGAAATGCAAGTGGAGTTTTAAGAATCGTTTTCTAGTTCTGAATGAAGTGATAAGTTAGAAGTATGATGCATAATAAAATTAGTTACTTAAAGTAATATACGATTTATTCAATTTCCAAAACATTTACCTATGTTAAAAATCTGATGTCTAACAACATTCTTCATACACATACCTACCTAAAATGTATATTCGTACTTCATGTTCATTAATATTAAAGTAATAAAAGTAAAAAATTAAATAGTATCAAGATCGTTTATTCCAATTTCCCCAGTATTGCTCTCAACAAAGTTTATTTTCCCTATTTGCCATGAGATTCTGGTACACCTATAATAAATAATCTTGAAGACCTCCCCAAGGCCAAACTTTACATTTTTGTGATTCGAAAGTTTTCTTGATTTCGAAACTCTTGAATTTGAGAGTTGGGCAAAATTTTTCATGTCTTTTATTAATTACTAGAATGAATTATTCATAACTTTTAAAACTTAGCATTATAGTTAATTATAATTATTTTATATTAAAATCACCTATTTTTGAGGGTTGGCCAAAAAGATTATTATTATTATTTGTGTTAAATAGCGCCATCTAGCGGGGAGTAGTCGTATGAAAATTGCCAGTGCATATTTCGTTCGTTCATTGATATAGTGGCATCTAGCGGAGAGTAGCAGCACTAAACACTATCCAACAATTTTTTTCGGTGTTCTAAACCGATTTAAATTATATTTATTAACAAATCTGCCTATTTTGACCCTTACAGAAATCTGCCAACGAAAATAATAACAAATATAATAAGCTACTGTGGCCACTAAGTTCAGTTGTAGTAAGAGTGGTTTTACAAAAGTGTATTTGCAATAATTTTAGGAAGTTGGGTTAAAAATGAAACGAGTAAATAATTTACAAATGACCTTTATATACAAATCAACTTTAAATATATTACCGGAGACTTAATTTCGTTATAGGAATATTGAGTATCATACATTTTTAAGCACATTATAAAACAAAAAGTTATAAATCTTAACTTTTACAAAAGTGACATGGTAAAGTAGAAAAAGATAAGTCCATTTGTTGTCTCTGTCACTCATAACTAGATGCTGATATGAGTGACAGAGACAAAACATTAATAATACTGTTTAACGATGATGTTTTCTTTCCATGTTTGTATTTACAGAATAACACAATTTAGATGATTTTCTTGTAATCTATCTATCTATCTATATAAATAAAAATGAATTGTTGTTCGTTAGTCTGATTAAAACTCGAGAACGGCTGGGCCAATTGAGCTGATTTTGGTTTTAAAATGTTTGTCGTAGTCCAGGGTAGGTCTAAACGGTGAGCAAATAAGGAAAAATTGCGATGGCTTATTTATTGCCTTTAAGGCGGAACAGAGTTCGCGGGGTCAGCTAGTTTACAAATACAAATCTTTTATTCAGCAGTTCTTAAGCCCTTTCCAGGGCACTTATACACGTCCCAAATATAGCTTGCCCTACCACCACTTCGGGACAACATATGGGCTGGTGCTGGGAAGTGTAAAACTCACACTACGATGATGATGATGATGACAATAGTGACTGAGTTTCTTGCGCTTCTTCTCAGCACTGGCCCATTTATTGTCCCGAAGCAGTGGTAGGGTTAATACTGGGACGTGTAAAAGTGCTTTTCAACCGACTTCAAAAAAGGAGGAGGTTCTCAATTCGACCCGTATGTTTTTTTTTTCTATGTTTGTTACGCGATAACTCCGCCAATTATGAACCGATTTGAACAAATCTTTTTTCGGCGTATAGGTAATACCTCAAGGGTGGTCCCATTTAAATTTAACAATAGAAAAAACAACCCCCAAGGGTGGAAAATTGGGGATAAACTTTTTTATACGCAATATCTCCGCCGTTTATGAACCAATTTGAACGATTTGTTGAAGTCGGTTTTTTTAAGTTAATTTTTTAAAGCCTACTTACAGAAATAAATGAGTTTTATGAATTTTTTTATGATGATGTTATGTACAGTTTCACCGCTCGGCGCTCCACACGAACGGTTCCAGTCTCTTCTCTTCTGGGAGCAGTAGGTTCAGTTCTTCTATATCTTGAAGAGTCTGCAAAAGAACGTTAGTATACATTATTTCAAAATAGCATACATTTTAATTGGGACTTCTTGGCGAACAATCGAATTGAGAACCTCCATTTGTTGGAGTTGAAGGAGTAATTAAGTGACCTTGCAGTTGACCTTGTCGTTATAAGTGACCTTGTCACTATCAAGCGACCTAAATTACCACTTTTTGTACACAATTTTGACAATAAAATTGTTACGATTATGATTATATTTCGACCTCTGTCCCACTTAATTACTGTCCCACTGACCTGGTTAAGCAGCGAGTTGCACCGGGACAGTTGGTGAGCCACCTCATGCACGCGGGAAAGGCACTCAAGTGACATTGTCGTTATTAACTGACCTTGCAGGTGACCTTGTCGTTATTAACTGACTTTGTATGTGACCTTGTGTTTATTAAGTGACCTTGCAGGTGACCTTGTCGTTATTAAATGTCCTTGCGGGTGACCTTGTCGCTATAGAGTGACCTTGATATTATGTCCCACTGACCTGATTAAGCAGCGAGTTGCACCGGGACAGCTGATGAGCGACTTCATGCACTCGGGAAAGGCGCTCAAGTGACCTTGTCGTTATTAACTGACCTTGCAGGTGACCTTGTCGTTATTAACTGACCTTGCTGGTGACCTTGTCGTTATTAACTGACCTTGCAGGTGACCTTGTCGTTATTAACTGACCTTGCAGGTGACCTTGTCGTTATTAAGTTACCTTGCTGGTGACCTTGTCTTTATTAAGTTACCTTGCAGGTGACCTTGTCGTTATTAACTGACCAAGCAGGTGACCTTGTCGTTATTAAGTTACCTTGCTGGTGACCTTGTCGTTATTAATTGTCCTTGCGGGTGACCTTGTGACCTTGATATTATGTCCCACTGACCTGGTTAAGCAGCGAGTTGCACCGGGACAGCTGATGGGCCACCTCATGCACGCGGGACAGGCGCTCGGCGTGTCTCGCGTTGGCGCGCTGTTTGTCCACCATCTGGGAGTAAAGACGGGACACTTCGGTATCCGCCTGAGACAGAAAAAATAGGTTTTTTAATATCTAAATATACAGGGTGTTAGGTAAATGGGTATATGAGCCGACACTAGCCCATGTTAACATGGGCATTTAAATGGTATGGCGAAGTCTACTACTACTATTTCTATTTATTTATATTAACCGGCAGACAGTGGTGACTGAGTTTGTTGCGGCGCTTCTTCTCAGCACTTGCCAAATGTTGGTCTCGAAGCGCTGGTAGGGTAAAAAGATTATGAGACATGTAGAGGCTCCTTAAGAGCAAAATGACGATTTGTAAGAACTATTTATTAGTCCAAACAAATAAAGAAATTTTGACTTTGAAATTTTGACTTTGACTTTCCATTAATCTGCCTCAGAATCTTTCACTACTCTTACTACTGACCTCCTTAACTTTACCGGCGAGTGCTATCTGGTCGGCGGCGAGCGGTTGCGCACACGCGGCCAAGTGCGCTTGCAGGCGTGACGTCAGACGCACCCACGGCCGGTAGTCTAGGCCTGAAGAATAGACATGTTGACACCACAGTCAATAGGCTAGTTGCCTAAAAAAATTTTTTTAGTCCGTAATGTTTAATATCAAAAAATATTGGACACATATATTTTTATTTGTCAATCTAACAAATAATTACATAGTTATGGTGCGTTGAAGTTGCGCACGACGTCACAACGTGCGGCATTTTTAAGCAAGCGTTGACGTCACGGGCCTCTTCTTATGAACTTTGGGGCGCTTTATCTCTTTAAATTTTCATTAGTTTGAAAAAGTGAAAAATACGCTAAAAATACTCTACAGTATTTTTTTATAAGTTAACTGACGGACTAATTAAAACTCTTGCTTTTTGACCCAGGCAACATCCCCATTGACGTACTTTTTAAAACTGTCAAAACGAAACTCTCCCATAGATTTTGTATGGCACTACAAGCAAGTGACGTCACTATTTTGTCAACCCAATTAAACCACTTTTTTCAATTACAATTCGAACAAAAATCGAAATTTACAGGTAATTTAAAATAAATTAGGTTTTTAAGACCAGAATGAAGAGTCTTTTTAAGACAGTTGTGGTTTCGAATTATTGGGGTATGGTGTCAAACTGTCTATTGGGATGACTGGGTAATGAAATCGAAATTCTTTTTAGTCCGTCACAGATAATAAAAAAAAATTGGACACTTCTTTTTTTAATTTTTTTAGTAATCGAATCATTACAGTAGGTCTAGACAAAGTGCAAATTATAATCGCAAACCAGTCGAAAAGTGGTTGAAAAGCCCCTTTTTTGTATGGAGTTTTGACGGATTCGATTTTCGATTCGATCAAAAAGTGCGTTTTGTCTAGGGGGGCTGTATTATATTGAGTTGTGTTGCGGCGTTTGAGTAAAAATTCTACTCAAAAGTGACGTCACGGGATATTTCAACTCGTAATTATGAAATAAAATAAAAAATACGAGTAATATTTTTTAAGTATCTGTCTGACGGACAAATTGCAATTTTGTTATCTAGCCTATTGTACTCATGAAAAAACTGCATAAAAACCATTTATTTTGCGACATTAGTGCATTGCATTGCACATTTTATGGGCAAACAAGCTGTGCCCGCGAACGCTATAAAATAGTTTTAATATTTCCCGTTAGCAACGTGTTATATGGCCTGAAGCCTTCCTCGATAAATAGACAAAAAAACTTTTTCAAATCAGACCCGTAGTTCTTGAGATTAGCGCATTCAAGCAAACAAACTCTTCAGCTTTATAATATTGGTATAGATGTATTAATGTTTAACAAATTACCACAAAGCATAAGCTATTGTTGACTTACTAATAAATTCACACATTTCATTTTAAAAATGCCCATGTATTAAGGTAGAACATTTAGGAAAAGAAGCTGAGAATAGTGACAGAGTTTCTTGCGCTGCTTCTTCTCAGCACTGGCTTACATTTAGTTCCGAAATACACCTGAATTTGGAGCGAAAAAGACACACCTTCTAACACTTCAGGGTCCCTTGCGCCGGGCAGTCCCAGCGTTCCCCGCATAATAGGCAGAAATGTTGGGATCTCCTGTAAAACAAATTAATATTAGTTAAAAACGGTTAAAAAGCAAGTCGAAATTATAATTTGAAAAATATTGCTAGCGCTATCTGTTAGTAAGAAACTGAACTAATTTAAGCAACGCCATCTCTTACTGAGTAATTGAACTAATATTGTCAACGCCATCTATTGGTGAGTAGTTGAACTAACATTATAAACGCCATCTATTAGTGAAGAACTTAACTAAAATTAATACAGTGCCATCTGTTAACGAATACCTGAACTAATATTATCAACGCCATCTATCAATGAGTAGCTGAACTAACATTATCAGCGCCATCTACTAATAAGGAATCGAACTAAAATTAATACAATGCCATCTGTTAACAGGTCACTGAACTAATCAACGCCATCTTTTAGAGAATACCTGACCTAACAGTATCAGCGTCATCTATAATTAAAAAACTGAAGTAATAAATGCACACTGCCATCTTTTACCGAGTAACTGAACTAATATGGCCAACGCAATCTATTGGTGAGTTGTCAGCGCCATCTATTAGTAAAGAACCGAACTAAAATTTATACAATGCCATCTGGTAACAAATAACTGAATTAATATGACCAACGCTGAATTAAAATTATCAGCGCCATCTGTTAGCGAAGAACTGCACTAACCTTGTCAGCGCAACCAAAGTAATGTAACCAGCATCATCTGTTAGTGGATAACTGAAGTAATATTTTCCATCTATTTTTACTAGCCTACATTTACCAGCGCCATCTATCAGTGCCGGATTAGCCACGTAGCAAGAGTAGCAAATGCTACGGGCCCCGCGAATTTGGGGGCCCCGCGCTCCAACGCCTGTCTGACCGAAATAAAAAAAGATTAATTTAGATAGGAGCGTAAAATATCTTGCATGCCTTAAACGCGAAGCGCTTAGGCTATGCTTTACTTTCACTTGAAAATCTAAAACTCTATTTCATCACGTTAAATCATAAAAATAAGTAGGTAGGTATTTTACGAACTTTTTAACGTGAATGTTCTAATGTTTAATTATAATCGATAAAACTCATTTATTTCTGTAAATAGGCTTAAAAAAAGCACTTTTACACGTCCCAGTATTAACCCTACCACTGCTTCAGGACAATAAATGGGCCAGTGCTGAGAAGAAGCAGCGCAAGAAACTCAGTCACTATTGTCAGCCTCTTTTTCAAAGGTTTACAGGCTTTAAAATGTACAAAGTTAACTATAAATATTTATGCGAGCTAGGCAGTAACGCATCCCAAACATTTTTATCTTTTAAATAATCATCGACTTTATAGTAGCCCTTTTTCATTAAGGTACTTTTAATATGTGCTTTGAATTTATGAATGGTCAATGGGTAGTTCTACAACAGTTTGTGGTAATTTATTAAAGAATTTAATACAATTTCCCATAAATGAATTACCAATCTTATGCAGTCTGAATAGGCCAGTAGACAATTAAACACAAAAATGAATTAAATCGGAAATAATTCCTACAAAAGATTTTATTGCTTTAATGGCTTCATTGGTTGCCCATAAAGACTCTCCTAGGTTTTCGACTTCGACGGAGTTGTGCTTAAGTGGTGGGGGCCCCAGAAAGGGGCGTTTTTTCGGTTTTCCGGTTATACTGCGTAAAGGACTTACCCTATCGAAAAGTGGTCTTCATGACGGTTGAAGGGTACTTAATCCTGCATTGGTTCGTTTCAGCCAAATGACGTCCACTGCTGGACAAAGGCCCCCCCCAAGGTTTTCCACAATGAACGGTCCTGCGCTGCCCGCATTCAGGCTCTTCCCGCGACCTTTACCAGATCGTCGGTCCACCTAGTAGGAGGCCTGCGAGCTATGTCAGTTACTTTAGTTCTCCTGCGGATCTCCTCATTTCTGATTCGATCACGCAGGGAGACTCCGAGCATAGCCCGCTCCATCGCCCTTTGGGTGACCTTGAGCCTTCTTATGAGGCCCATAGTAAGCGACCACGTCTCAGATCCGTATACCATCACTGGCAACACGCATTGGTCAATGCTGCATTGAATAAGAGCAAATTCATTATGTTTTGGACAAACCGTTCACGTGCCTATCTTCGTCAAAGTAGAAAATTTACGTTTAGTTAATAACCCTCTCTACGTCCAATAGCTCGTCACCCGCAGGCTCCCAAGCCATATAAAGGGCCACCTTAACCAGCGTATCCCTGTCAGGGCTCGCGAGTTGGATTCGCTTATTCTTGTTCGTCCCAGCCGATCCTTAACTGCGGTTGCTGCACCTCTTCCTTGCACTCTAC